ATCCTGATCAACATGCAACATCCATCACCACTTGATCAACATGCAACATCCATCACCACTTGCCTAACAAGGCAAAGTTGAACTCCCTTAACCTCTAAACCCCAACCACCTCATTCTCTAGCTAAACACACTTTATCATATTTAATTTAAAGGATCTTATGGAAATTTTCATTATCTCCTTAAAGGAAATACGAATAAAAATGTAATATAAGAAATAATATATGCAAGTCAAGAAGAAGGAAAAAATCCGACAAAATTGAAAAACAAATTTGACGAAAACAAGATGACCAACCATGAATGTGTTTTTACTCATCCAATTTGATAAATTTTTAAATCATCTCCATCACAGAATTTGAGACCGAAAGACATAAGGGTTACCCAAATGGGAATACCTTAAATAAACAAGGAATGATTAGTTTTACAATTCAACACCACTAATGTCACCTTCCACAAACTCTTATGAAAATGAACCATCAAGCCTAAAATCATTTCAAAGAGGATTATATTCACCTTTAAAGATATAATATTCTCTGAACTCTTCACGCATAAAATTAAAGTGTCATCAACCAAACACACATGTAAAATCTTGTACTTAAAGTTCGTACCAACATTATAATATGTAAAAAGAACAATGCATTATGCACCAAATGATTTCTTAAGAGAAAACACTACATTATGTATGGCGTTGAGCAATGCATGGGGCGTATTTGTTTTATCGTATCCACATGGACTGGTGTAATATCAATGTTGTTCAATAATTATTATGATTTTAAGAAGAAGTTTGCAAGATGTTTGATTATGGAAAGTTACAGAATGTAAAACGGATAAATGATAAGAGCTTGTAAGAATTGGATTTTGTCCACCAATAGAATATGTAATTTACCAATCAGTTATACACAATCTAAACATTTATCAATATCATCTTGTATCGCTCACAAACAGAGTTTATGTCTAAACTTTTGATGAGATTTAGATCTTATTATTTAATCGACGATCTCTCAGCCTATTAAACAAAACAACAACATTAAGAATCGATACTTACGATGAATGTTAAACCTAAATCTATGTCTAGCATTTAGAATCTAACAGATGATTATCTTAGATCAAGATTTGAATTGTATTTCTCAATTCAAGTCAAATCCATGAAGTTTAACAATAAATCACAGATATCATCGATATAGATTCATTAATAGATTGTATATAACGCCGTGATTAATACAAATACATATTTTTACGGTGAACTACATCAAATCCCAACAAGAAATAGATTTAGCTACTCATGGTAGTTTGATACAAATGAGAAGAAAATAAATGAATAAGCATCAATGTTGATTTCCCGACTATTGATGCGAATTTAGCTTATGATCTTCAAAACCACCATTTCATGTTTTTTTGGCATATTTCTCTACCTCCAAAATACGTCTCTTTCTTAAAATAAGAATTGGAAAGGTATTTATACAAATCTGAAAAAGTTAATGGCGCTTAGGCCCATATTTGGTGTTGAGCGCAACTAACAAAAGACTTAAACTGCCATAAATGGGACTTAGAGCGGAATTTAGGGCTTAGCGCAGATTTGGGGCTTAGCATGGAATTTGGGGCTTAGCCCCAACTTGCAGGCATCTTTACTAAAAGAAATGCATGTTGAAGCCATTTCTTTGCTTTTTTATGCCCAAAGCTCTCCCAATGCAAACATACCTACAAAATGAGTTGCAAATGACCAAAATACACAATATTTACATGATAAACCATTAAAACTACTATTTACACAAAAGTTGAGGTTTTGACTTGTGAATTCATGAATCGAGTTATTGGTGTCTTATTGGTAACTTCAATATGGAAAAACATGTCCATAACTACAAATAATCTCATTCAATAAGGCACCAACACATGTCCATAACTACAAGGGTAATGGAAAGCTTGTTCCAAAGCAACCTTCTTGTGACATAGTTTATAGAGGCATACACAACAACCATACCAAAGATTTTGTATTCAACATTGATGAGAAAAAGCTACATGTTGGTCATCAATGTCAATAATACCAGGGTCCATATCAGAGTCACAAAAGCACTATATATTAAGGTTCTTTCCATCTATTTGGTTAACAACAAAAAGTTTGAGGTGAAGCCTTCTAAGCTAGTTGAAGGAAAACTTTGAAAAAACCATGGTTCACCTAGAAATATAAAATGAGGCTTATGGTTGGCGATAAGCCTTTTTAAAGCCAGTTTGGTGGGAAAGTTGACAATACCTTCCAAAATATGCACTTAATTAGGAAGAGTTATTCTTACCAACTTTTGATTTGGTTAAGTGTGAACTTTTCTTTTCGATCTTTCTTTCGCTCCTTGATTTAACGGGTTGAAAAGTCTCATTTGTGTCCATAAATTATCCTCTAGTTCCTGATCAACCATATTTACCCATGAGTTACTCAAGAACTCCAAGTATGATTCACTCATTATATCATCCCAACCTTATCAGGTGGCGGTTCCTCATTCTCCAATTGGGTTGCACTAACAAACTCAGACTCAAATAAGCAATCAAAGTGTTATGAGGTACCAACATGAGTTATTTGTTTTTCAGGAGCAACTGTTTGTCTTATGGATGCATTTTTGTTGATCATCTGAGTTTATGAGATATCTGTTTCCTCCTTAGTTTGATGGTTGATAATATTTTATTTGGTTCCACTTGGGTCCCCACATGAATCAAAGCTTGAGGCTGGACTTGCGATTGAGTCTTATCCACACCCACTGCATCTTTACATTTCTCCTTGGTAGCTTTATCTTGGCTAAGATATTTGCTTTTAACTTGATTGAACACTCTTTTTTCTCCTTCTTCTTTTCATTCTCCACATGAGAGATGTATTTAGATTTCCTTATATGGCAAGCTTCTAAGCTATGACCCATTGTTGAACATGAAACAAAAGTATGATAGATTCTCATACTTTAGCTCTACAAAGAACGTGTATCCTTGTCTTTCAACAAGCACATTGTACCTTAGCTCTTTGGTCGGTTCCATGTTCACTAAGACTCTCACAAAATGACCAAAATGCCTCTCAAAGATTCATTTGTTAGCTGTAGAATATGTGCATATAGGTGTTATGATACTGCTTGTTATGACAAAGACTATCTTAGGTCTCTAATACTCTTGAGCCAAACCATGATTTCATACACATACCTAAGTCGAAGTTTGCTTTAGATGACCGGGGTTAAAGTCTTTGCTCCATGAAAAAAGCTTGAGGAAACTAGGGTTGATGTTCCATGTGTTAATCAACCTTACTCTTTTGACATCTTCCAAAAAAGAGAATGTTAGTTCATCATAGCCTTTACCTAGGGATGTGATACCCTATTTCTTTACAGATTTCCAAAACTTCAATAATTTAATTTTCAATGTGGAAATTGTGAGAGACGTGGAACCATTGAGCGACATTACCCAACCATGCAAATTATGCTTACAAGTTTCTACTTCCATGATGTACTCTTCTTCTAAAATGACGATCACAAGTATGTCTCCCTTCACACATGATATAGAAAGTTAACTTAGTAGAATGTTGCGTATATTATTTATTGTGCATGTTGTAGACAAAAAGAGATTGAATACTTTCAAAGACAAAAAAAAAATGTTTTTTACAAAATTTAAAAACAATACTTTCAATATTTACAAGAATGAATTCATATATTTAAACCTTAATTTATCTTCTTTGTCTTCATGATTTTAACTACTACGTATATTTTAGTGAAATTCTAGGAGGCATCCTACTAAATTCCAACCAATTTTATTAATTTCTGTAGAATAAATTTATATATATTTAAAAATTAAAAGAGTAATTAACACTTTTGCAAAATACGAAGAAGCTTTATCCATAACTTTTATTGGCAATATTTACACGCCAACATATTACCAAAGCATTTGGATATAAATTTTACATGCATTGAAACTCGTAGCCAGTTCACATATGTTGGATTTCCTAAAAAAAATTTAGTTTAGACTATTACTTTCAGAATTTAGATTTTTCTTTCATGTCATTCCTCACTTAATTCTCCATCTATCTCTTAATCTCACTGTCTCGTTTTAATAATAAAATAATTTTATTATAATAGAGTGAAAGACTAAAATTAAGAAAGTTAACAATTAAAAGAAGAATTAAGAAAAAAATGGAGAGAATTCAAAGATGTTACATTAAAGTTCTAACTAGAAATGTCAATAGACTGAGAATATTTGGAACATGCGTCTCCGTTTTCTGCTCTATTTTTATTATTATTTTTCATCACCATCTTCAATCTCTATTATAGGAGAATATTTTCTCCATTCCTACATATTTTCATAAATATTTACGGAGATCGGATTTTAAAAGAATTTCTATAGATCAAAATTCAGAAAGACAAAGATAATTGAAAAAAAAAGAGAGGAGATTTTGTATATATTTTATGTATTAAAATAATCTATTAATGACTTTTTAATTTTTAATATATTAATATTTTTTATATAAAATTATATAACTATATATTATATAATATATATAATATAAAATATAAATAACATAGTCGAATCGAAAAATTCATAAAATAGAGGTTATTTTTCCAATCTCCGTCTCAAAGTGTAATCGAAAGAATTTTTTCTTTTATTCCTGCAGAGAAAAAAAACCTAACTTCAATACTTTGAAAAAATATTTCTCACACGAATCTTTATTAACCTATATAAATGGACATCTTTAATGCTAACCCAATAAAATAATAGAGTACTACTTCCATATATTAAAAAAAATGGTACGTACAAAATATTATTTTTAGCCAAAAATCTTAATTAACCGCAACAAATAGTAATAAAAATTTAGAATGATTTAATGGCATTATGGTTATTACACGAAAAGCCAGTAACCATAAAGTAATTTAGCACAAATCTTTGCCTACAAAACCCTTTCCCTTTCGCTCTCTTTCAGCACAGTCACGATTCTCAAACGCAAAGAAACAAACTCTTTCAACAACAAAAAAAAAAAAAGAAGTTTAACAATGAGAACCCAACGCCCTCACCATCTCTTTCTATTATCCATCATCTTCTTTGCATTTACATTCTCATATCTCCAATCAGCAATCGCCACCGGAGAACAACCTCCGACCACCGGCAATGACGGCGACACCGAATTCATCCGTTCAAGCTGCAACACAACACTCTACCCAGACATATGCTACACTTCCCTCTCTCGTTACGCCAATGCAGTTCAACAGAATCCAGGCCAACTCGCTCGTATCGCCATCGCCGTAAGCTTCTCCAAAGTCCACCGCACCGCCTCCTACCTCTACAACCTCACTCGCGTCGCCGATTACGGCGGAAACTCTCGCGCCTCCCTCGCTCTCCACGACTGCTTCTCCAACCTCAACGACGCGGTGGATGAAATCCGCGGCTCGATTAAACAGATGCGCCAGATAGGATCCGCCGGAGCCAGCGCCGATTCGTTTCTTTTTCAGATGAGTAACGTCCAGACGTGGATGAGCGCGGCGCTTACCGATGAAGAAACGTGTACTGACGGATTTCAAGATGTGGAGAATTGTCCGATGAAAACGGACGTTAACGATCGTGTGACGAAGGTGAAGAAGTTCACGAGCAATGCTTTGGCGTTGGTTAACGGTTACGCCAGTAAAGGAATGCCGTGAGTTTGTAACCGTTGGATTTGGTTATTATCTTTTCCAATCTCAGAATTGTTCAATTAAAGAATAGTTTTACTTTTATTATTATTACTGTGTATGCAAAAGTGTAGTGTGTGTGAATGCTGAATGTAAATTTGGTTTTGGTTTTAGCTTTGTTATTAACAGAAAAAAACAAACGCATGTGGATGGTTTCACATGAGTTCTGTGCAAGAAATCAAGAATAGAGTGTGTAGATATAAAAACAAAACAAAAAAAGATTAGTTACAATTAAAAATTGTGAAGATGTGAAATTAGTACTTAATGTATAAGGTAAAGGCTTTTGAGTGAGTTTAAAAACTTGTTTTGGTTATTTTAAAAGTAGTTATAGTTGTAGTTAAAGGTTATTTAAATTTTCATGATGCTTAAGTTTGCTTTAATTTGATTTGAAATAGTTTTAACTTATGTCTAGTTTGGCAGTTTCTTTTATAAGTAGGAAGCCACCAAAATTTGCTTTTTTAAACTTTTGATAATTAAGCTTGTTTGAAATGTCTATCATTGTCCTCCACATTTTTAACTAAAAGAGGCTTTTTATTGGTTTGAGCTGTTGGGCAATTTTTGGGGTGTAAATTCGTTTCTTTAGTAAGTTAATATTGTGCAAATTATAAGAATTGGCTTATTAACTCGCATCTAAAACACAACTTCCGTAGCTAAACGACATTCTATGCTATGCATGCCACAGTTAGGTGGTAGAAAGGGTTGTTTTATTTCACTTTCACAAATTTTTATTTGTTTCAGGGAGATGATTTGCAATGATCATGACATCGACACGCTCCCTACTATATTTTAAATATACTTTTAGGCTAATTTTGATTTTTGTTTTTAAAAACTGGTTTGATGGAAAAAAATACTGTTTACTAATCTCATTTTTGAAAATTATTTTTAAAAAACTTGTTTGATAAACTTATTTGTAAAATATATTTTTAAAAAATTTAAAAAGAGGAAATTTATTTTATAAAGAAAAATTGCAATATTATAGAAATATTGACTATTAAAATTAATTACTAAAATGGGAAACATCCAAAACTAACTAAAGATATGACTCATTAAAATAGTAAATATTTAAGAGACTAACAAGTAAGTCAAAATTCATCAAAATTGTTAGAATCTAACTATAAATTTTTGGCTAGTGGGGCAGTGAATTTTTGGGTATGGATTCAATTTTATTTGGAACCCATTTTTTTAAAGTTTTTTTTTTTTGTTTTAAATTTATATCCGTTCAATTACTCGATCTAATATGTATTTTTTTTATAGATTTTTTGAATGGATTTGACCTATTTTTTGGATTGACCCAATCCATGTACACTTCTATCAAATAAAGATTTGTTTACTAAGCGAGCATGAAGACGTAGTAAGCGAGGAAAGGAAACAAAGACAACTCAAGTGAGCTGGCAAAACTTAGGGAAGAAGAAATTACGCGCGATAAGCGAGCTATGAGTCTCGCTTAGCGAGAATGACATATCATAACCCTATAAATAGGTGTTCAATCAGTTTAGTTGGCGATAACTTTGTGTAAATTAGTAGTTTTCTCGATAGGAAGTGAAATAAGTTCATTGTATACCAAAAACACAACATGAGAGGAAAAGAATGGGAGATTGAGGGCGGAAGCGCAATCTGAGGAATTGACAATAGATGATTTTTCAACGTCTTTTTTGTTGGACTTAATTGTAAAGCTACAATGAGTAATCATAATTAATTTCTCTTTGTTGGAGTTAGATGTACTCATCCTAAGTTCATGTATCGATTGTGATCATGGCGTTTTATGCAATACTTCTTAAGCTTTAATATTGATGGATTCTTTGTTCTTAATGCTTGTTTTAGACTATCTACCTAAAACATGTTTTCATGGTGTTACAAATTTTTATGCTAACCCTTGTCCAGGTTTAGATTAGGAAGATCCGTATACACGCCGCATAAAATTCTACGAGATTAGTGGTATGCTAGAGCATCAGAATATGAGGAAGAGCCGGTATTCCTAAGGTTGCTTCCACACTCACTGATTAGCAAAGCAAAAGAGTGATATCTAGACCAAGCAACATCGGTGATGACAAATTGAAACTCGTTGGAGAAAAAATTCCTAAACATATTTTTTTCTCTAACAAATTCATGGAAGCAAAGACTACCACCACAATGTTTTCTCAAGGCATAGCAGAAACTCTCTGTGAAGCATGGTGTGATACGGTGGCAGAACCGATTGTTAATACTGGTTTGTGTTTTGCGTTTTTTGTTTGCAAAATGTCACGGTAAGAAAGAGTCACCACCGACTTTTATTTCATCCAATCATGGAAAAGGAAAAAGAACAGAAAAAACCTTTTTTCGAGATATTTCTGAGTACGGGGGTAGATTATAGAAAGGGAAGGTGTTAGCACCCTTTCTATCCATGGTTTTCCATGGGCTCTTAGGTACTTGCTCATCTTTTTAAATTGCTTGTGTATGTGCTTGTTTTGAAAAGTTTTACTTTGTGATAACCCTTGTATCAGTTCTCAAAGGTGTGTCGAAGTTGTTTTTTGAAAATTTATTTTGAAAGGTGTTTGTGTAAAAGGTTTTGTTGAGCAAGTACTTAAGATTCTACCTACTCGAAAAAAGATTGTTCATTCTTGTTTCCTTTAGACAACGCTATCCTACTATTAAGGAGTAGGTAGCCCCGTCGTTGGAGTTTGTAAGGGACGTTCGAAAGGGACGAGTATAGTCACTAAAGTAATGGGTAGGAAACCTTAGTAGTAACCCTAAAGTCTTAAGATCTTTCTGAGGCAACATTTCCGAGGCAACATTCAAATGAGACATTTGATCTTTTAGACAAGAGGGTAACCACTAAAATCTCTTATGCTTAAATGAATATTTTACCGAAGGCAACCGAAGTGAGGCAAACCCTATGAGTGAATATGTGCATGTGTTTATGTTTCAATTATTTTAATCTTTGCACATTTAGGTGATCTACCGTTTTAATTTTCAAGTAATCTTCCCATATAATCCTATTAGCCATGCATCTAGACAGTTAAAGATTTGCAGGAATTTAAAGTGCGAGAAAATAAAACCTAGCTATTACAAGGCTTCGGGGATGGGGATTAATTACATAACCAAAAATCGGGGAAAAGCGATAAATGAAAAACCCTAATTTAAAGCTATTACAAACCCTTGGCAGTTACAAAATAATAAGAAAAATAATTAAGACGCGCTGCGAGTTAAATGCGAGGACGCTTAAAAATAACCTAAAACCCTAATTGATAGAAAAGTATTTTTGTGCATTTTTATTTGAGAAAAACAATTAAATTGCAAATTAGTTAAACCTTAATTTCTAATTGTTTTTAATTATGAAAGAATTAAATTAACTTAGTTTCTAATTAAATTAATTAAAAAAATAAATATTTCATGAGAAAAATGATTTTTTTTTGTGTTTTTCTATGGTTTTTAATTAAATAATAATAATTTTGTGTTAATTAAAAAAATAAAAATGATTAATGAAGTAAGTAAAAAAATTTAAAAAAAATGAAAAAAAAGAAAGAATTGGGCCTGTGCTGAATAGTAAGGCTGGGGGGTGTGATTCTAAAATTCTCCAGGCCCATTAGCCATCCAAGCCCAGTCAGCGCTTGATTCCATGTGGCGTTGACTTGAGGGTGCACCATGGTCTCTCAAGGTTGTAGGCGCTGGATCTGATTGAGAAGTATTCATTGGTTGGATGGTGGAGTCGTATGGTGAGCGCTTGGGAGAGAATTGCATAGGATCTGTTGAAAGAAAATAAAATAAAGAGAACGCTGGGACCTGGGATCAAACCTAGGTCCTTATGCTTAGCACCAATGCTACGTTGCCAGCTGCGCTACACGTTTTACTTGTTAGTATAATAACAATCAAATATAATATATGAAAACCAAACAAACTGAATCAAACACACTCGAATTCAAATGCTCCAATGGCTGGCTGGCACATATCTTCTTCTTCCTAGAACCGTCGTGTTAGACATCAGATCTATACCTACAGACACCTTCTGTCGCTATAAGCCCGCAATATCTCAAAACATGATACAAGCATGATAAATCACTTATGAATACATTGATCAATTTGTTTTGACCTTACGAACATGATGGCACCCTTTATTTAGGCTAATTTCACCTGTGGACAAAAACCCTAAAAATGCAAGGTGAACCCTAGCAATGGCAGATACGTGTATAGGCTTCAAAATGCAATTAAACTATTCAGTTAGCTTGCAAACATGATAACAAACACATATATGCCATTAAAATATGCTCATAATGTATAAATCATGATAATCGAATTTGAAAAAATATGGCAAACCGTGTGAGGCCTGGAGGCGGATTCTGGGCGTGAGAGGGCTGGCTATTGATTGAGATAGCCTCCTGAGACGTCCAGCAAACGATTGGCAACGCTAGGATGACTTGAGATGGCCTGTGGAACGAAAACTGAGTCACACTCTTCTTTGAATTTTTTGAATTTGCTCTACCTCTTTCACGACTGCTAGCCCTTGTAATTTGCCTTGTACTTGTTCATTATATACCCTTGAGTGAATTAGGGTTATAAAATTGGCTTAAATCTTTTAGAATTAAGAAGATTTGATATGATTTTCATGCCATAGGTAATATTTATAAATTGAGCCAAATCATTCCTTTCTTGTACCAATTAGACTTGATTCATTTTGGTCTTGATATCTCTGCATAATTTGATTGAGATCCTGTCCAAAAATCAAATCAAAACATATTTTTGCTATTACTTATCAATTATTTGATTTAATTCAATTTTTAATTAATAAAAAATCAAAATAAAATGGAAAATGAAGCAAATAACATGTGGATAAGTAATTGGGTCGTGGACCATGTTATAAGTGAGGTGCAATCATGAAATACTAAGCCCATTTGGTAAAAAATGCACTTTTGATCATATTTGACTTTTGGCAATTTTGCAAAAAAGGGTCAACTTTGACAAGGCATATCTCTTCCAATTTTAACCCTAGAGAGGTG